CATAGATAATTTCCCCGACTGGTTTCGGGAATTAATCCATGGTCTGCTGTAGTTGTTGGTAAACCCGTCTTGCTTCAGGAGTTCATACCACTTGGTCGTGTAGATAGTTTCCCTGTCTGGTTTCGAGTATTAATCTTTGACCTGCTGTAAAAGTTAATAGTGTTTGTCTGTCTGCTAATTTAACCTAAAAAGGTAAAATCAGTTTCATGTGATATCATGATGTATGAATTGCATGATGTTCCAAAAATAAATGAGATTGTGATGTATGTATTTGTACGCACATGTCATGATGTATGAACATGTAATGTTGTGGTGCAGTATCTTTGCCTGGGAAAATAAATCCCTGACTGATGTTGTAGAGCACCGGGAAGCTGCATCCAGGACTGTTGTTGGTAAGTGAAGAAAGTGATTCTTCAATTCCTGCTAGGGATAATGAATAAAGATAGTTTTGTTGGCGATTCCCTTTCTCTGCCAATGATCTTCGACTTTTGATTGAGAATGATTTTGCCGAGGGGAAGAGTTTTGTTGGAAGATTTCACCAATTTAGAGAAATAAACTCCGCTGGTGGATGAACTTTCGTAGCTAGAGAAATAAACTCTACTGGGGATAAGGCTTTATAAACTACTTAAGATTTATAAAACTCTATTGCGGAAGGTGAACTCCATAAACTGCTTGGGGATTTTGTTGAAATTCTATTGGGGAATCCTAAGAAGCTTGGAGACTTCACTGGGGATTTTTGTTGGAGCAGTAATTTGAGATTTTTTCTCTACCGGGAATGAGGCTTTATAGTCAGCTTGATATTTTTAAAAAACTCTGTTGGGGATCTTTGACTTCTGCTTGAGGATGTGACAAGAAGATGCCCCTGTTTTTGAACCTCAGGGAATGAGAAGTATACTAGAATGAACTCGTGTCTAAATGTATCTAGCAGCTGTGTGAGGGAGTGTCAAAATTAATCTATGTTGTGATTGTATCTGAACGGAAAGATGAACTTGAATGAGTATCAGAATGGCATCCGTATCTGGAGCGTATCTGAACTGTATCTGAAAGTTGTATTGAATGAGTATCAGAATGGCATCCGTATCTGGAGCATATATGAACTGTATCTGAAAGTTGAGTATCAGAATGGCATTCGTATTTGGAGCTTATCTGAATTGTATCTGAAAATTATATTAAATGAGTATCAGAGTAGCATTCGTATCTGGAGCGTATCTGAACTGTATCTGAAAGATGAGTATCAGAATGGCATCCGTATCTAGAGCGTATTTGAACTGTATCTGAAAGCTGCATTTGAATGAGTATCAGAATGGCATCCGTATCTGGAGCGTATCTAAACTGTATCTGAAAATTGAATCTGAATGAGTATCAGAATGGCATCTGTATCTGGAGTGTATCTGAACTGTATTTGAAAGTCGTATTGAATGAGTATCAGAATGGAATCCATATCTGGAGCGTATATGAAATGTATCTAAAAGCTGTATTGAATGAGTTTTAGAATGGAATCCATATCTGGAGCATATCTGAACTGTATCTGAAAGCTAAATCTAAATGAGTATTAGAATGACATCTGTATCTGGAGCGTATCTGAACTGTGTTTGAAAGTTGTATTGAATGAGTATCAGAAAGGAATCCATATCTATAGCGTATCTGAACTGCATCTTAAATCTGAATTTGAATGAGTATCAGAAAGGCATCCGTATCTGGAGTGTATCTGGACTTTATCTAAAAGCTGAATATGAATGAGTATCAGAAAGGCGTCCTTATCTAGAGCGTATTTAAATTGTATCTGAAAGATGAATCTGAATGAGTATCAGAATGGCGTCCGTATCTGGAGCGTATCTGAACTGTATCTGAAAGCTGAATCTGAATGAGTATCAGAATGGCATCCGTATCTGGAGCGTATCTGAACTGTATCTGAAAGTTGTATTGAATGAGTATCAGAATGGCATCCGTATCTGGAGCATATCTGAACTGTATCTGAAAGCTGAATTTGAATGAGTATCAGAATGGAATCCGTATCTCCAGCGTATCTAAATTGTATCTGAAAGATGTATTGAATGAGTATCAGAATGGCATCCGTATCTGGAGCGTATTTGAACTGTATCTGAAAGCTTAATTTGAATGAGTATCAGAATGGCATCCGTATCTGAAGCGTATCTGAACTGTATCTGAAAGATGTATTGAATGAGTATCAGAATGGCATCTGTATCTAGAGTGTATCTGAATTGTATCTGAAAGTTGAATATGAATGAGTATCAGAATGACATCCGTATCTAGAGGGTATCTGAAAGCTGAATCTGAATGAGTATCAAAATGGCGTTCATATCTGGAGCCTATCTGAATTGTATCTGAAAGCTGAATCTGAATGAGTATCAGAATGGCGTCCGTATCTGGAGCGTATCTGAATTATAACTAGAAGAGAATCTGCTTTATTTAGAATCTTTCCGCTGGGAAATCCTATTTTGTTGTTTTTTGAGAAGAAATCTGTTGGGGAACATGAAAAGTTTGTGAACCCTGCTAGGGAATTCTTTAAGATGTCAGAGAAGTAATTGGAGATTCTTGCTCTGCCGAGGATACAAGAACGCTTGACATCACTTGGCTGTAAGCTGAAGATATGGCAGTGACCTTTTAGTAAGATGCCCCGCCTCTGTAACTTCTAGAGAATGTATCTGCGGAGGTTTTATGGATGGTTTGAGTGTCATCCTAACTCCCGGAGTCCTTGCTGAATGCATATAAGGATGATAAACCTTCTTCTTATAGATAAGTGATGAGATGACGTGACATAGTCATACGCTTTAATCCCTGACTTTTGCCTGGACTGTCCTTTCAGATTTTCAGTCCATAGGGGTACCCTTTTTTGCCCAAGCCGCCCTTTCAGGTTTTTGACTTGCCGGGTGTACAAATTTTTCATATGTATATCCCTAATTTTTTCCTAAACCCTTTTGGTTCTCCAGGATTCCCTTATTTTTTCCGAGGCCAATCAACCTAACGGGTCTTTGTTCATGCATAGTATTTTCTGACTATGTCCATGTTCACCGGGTCTAGAGAATTGTCACTGTCTTTAGTAGTAAGTGTTATCACACTGTCAGGAGGTGTTTGCTTGATCGCACATGATTTGTTGTTGGAATTCATGTCTAATTCCCCAAGTGATTTAGATGGATATCTGCTCCTGGCAATTTGGCATTTTGGAGAGATTCCTTGAACTTTGACTTGACATCCCCAGATTAGCTGGACACTATGTCATTCCCCTTGATTATGAAAGGCCTATCACTGGAATGTCTTTCCATCTGAGGTGATTCTGTCCATTGAGAGGATTTTCGTTCATTGAATATTCGTCGTGTGAATTTCTCTGCTGTTGAACAAATAGTCATATGCAAACAATGGTATTTTAAGAATGCAAAGCTTATGTATGTCTTGAAGTTTGAAAATTCATTTTTTTAGTAAAACAAATAAATTTTGTAAAAGTGTGATATCAACTCAGGATTGAATAGTAAACCTTATAGGAGTCAAGATACCTTTTGTAATAGTATGCTTCCGAACTAACCCATGCTTCAGCTAGGACTTTTAAGAGTTATAACATGTCCTAGTTCACGGTTCAAGAAACGAAGGATAAAAGCTCAAATTTTTTGTACCCAACCCATTCTTCGTGATGTTCTTCAGTCTTACGCTTAGTTAATTATGCGTTTAGATCTTAATTGAGTCTGGAATCTTTGCTCTGATACTTGGTGATGGTAAATTGAACGTTTGTTTGAGAAGGCAGTTATTTTTGTACCCATTTTCTTTTTTGTTGAGGATTTGTAAGACCTCTTTTCTTTTATTTTTGTTATCCCTACTTTTTCTTGAACTGTTTCTTTTGTGATTACAGTTAGCGGATGCCCCAGTCTTCTTTATAGGTTTTGACTTAGCGGGTTTTTCTTTTGAAAAATAATGATTCCCTGCTTTGATGATGTAGCGGTGAAAATCAGAGATCAAGCTATTAATTAACTTGACTCGCAAAAGCAAGAGTCGCCAACGCGCTTTATTATTTCCAAGGGAAAAGGGAAAAGTGCGAAATAAAACCCTAAAATATGCAATGTAAAATAATACTTGAAAGTAATGAAAGTACAATGCATTTTTTGAAAGAAATCGAGAGTTCGGGGGTTGGTTATACAATGGGAAGGTATTAACACCCAATGCATCTGCGGTACTCCGCAGGAACCTTTTGAAATATCTGTTTTTGGTTAAAATTATTTGTTTGATTAAAAATATGTGTGAATGAGATTTTGAATATACAATGACTTAAAGTCGAAGTTTTAACTTAAAAAGTGTGAGTTTTAAAATTAAAGAGATATTTAAATATAAATAAAAGAGAATGTAACTAATTATCTAAAGAAGTTATTTGAACTAAATTAAAAATTTAATTTTACTTACTAAAATAATTCTAACCTACTACAAGTTCTAAGGTTGTAAAAAAAAATAGTTCTAAAATTATTAAATTAGGTCTAAACTAAATTAAAATTTTAAAATTAGTAAATTAAATCTAAACTAAATTAAAATTCTAAGGTTGCTAAATTAAATCTAATACAAATAAAAGTCTAAAACTACTAAACTAAATCTAAATCAAACAAAAATTCTAAAGTTACTAATTATGATTCTAAACATTTAAAATTATAAAATAAATCTAAACTAATTTAAACAATTCTAAATTAATATTAAACTAAATTAATTATAAGATTTACTAATATTTTATTTTTTATTTTTTTTAAGGATAATTGGGCTAGGAGTGTATATTGAACGAGAGATGCAACATTAATTGGTATATAGACCTGATGCCCATTTTATACATAAACCCAATTTAAATAATAGTAATAATTAAAACAAATATAAAATGATAAAAAAAATTTTAACTCCCATTGTTTCACGCTTCAGCAAGAAGATGTTGAAACTTTGACCCTTTCCACTATTCCAAACCAACCATTCAAGAAACGACATGTGGCATTAGGAATTAAAAGAAAAGAAAATATATGATACATACCCATATACGATTGACAGAGAGAGACGGCTTTGTCATTCAACTCTCTTCCTTTTTTTCAATCAAACCTCCTTTTTCTCAAATCCAACCCTTGTTCAATTTGACGGCAACACGAACATCATTGGTTCCCATTGCTTTTTGGGAAAACTTCCTTATCTCCTTGATGGCTCTAGGAGCTTTCTTCTTGAATGTGCATCCATGGAGGCGTTCATGGAGGTTAATGGTGTACTCTCTGGTAACCATCTCTTCCTTCCTACCGGTGCCAGTCTTCTCCACCATTTTCACTTACGACGCAGGGAGCGATCCATATACGGTGAAGGTTCGGAGGGTGGCTGACGGTTTCTTTGATTCCGGAACCGGATAGTGCCCGAAGAACGGCTTGGTCGGTGTCGAATAGTTTGACGCGGTTGATTCCTTGTGATTTGAGAAGTTTGACGACTTTGAAGGCGGGGGAAAGGTTGTTTGTTTGTGTGTGTTAAGAGTTTGTTATAATACAAGAACATCAGGATGAAAGGAGTACCAGCAAGAACCGGTTCCGAGACAGGGAAACATGGTGATAGGGTAAGATTTTGTGAGTTCTCACATCTTTCTATGAATTTTTGTTGTTTTCATAGAGAGAGAGATTTTAAAGTTTTGGATCTTCCTCCTTTTTTGTATTTTGTTGAACAAGGTTGGTATATATAATTTTTTTTGTTCCTCTTCTTTTCTGTTAACAAGGTCTGAGTTTTATAGAGAGGAAAAATGATGAATTTTTGGGGGGAAATGGTTGGTAAAACATGAACAAATGCAGTGCCTCGTTTCATCTCCTTTTGATGCAATTTTTATTTTTCTATTTTTGTGAAAGTTTTGATATATTTAGACTGTTTTTCCTGGACTGTTATGACAGGTTAGTAGCAGGTTTTGGAGCTATTGTGCAACAGTTTTTTTTTTGGACAAATTTCCAGCAAGATAGCAATAAGTTACAGACTGTTTTTTTTTTGTTTGGGACAGCAGTATGATTTTGGAGCTTTATGCTTGGATAAAGACAAGGCTTGGTGTGGACAACAATAGCAGGTTTTGACAGTTTTTTTCTTCTGGTTGCTACAGCTTGATTTGATTTTGCAGGCTGATATGCTATGTTTTGGCCTGTTATGTTTGTTTTATGGCTGCAAAATTATGGACAAGGAGATGTCACAATTTAACTGTTTATTTGGCATTATGCAAGAGCTGGAATTTTGCAGCAATGTCTACAAGGTTGTTGAAGGCAATGTGTGGCATGAATTTTGGATCAAGAACAAGTCTTAGCTTTAGGTTTAGATTTTCGTTTTCTTGTACAAACACTTGTGTAAGATTCTTGTGGTAACTTGTAATTTTTTCTTAGAGCTTGATTGAATGTAATTTGGGAATTTAAACTCGTGCAACTTGCAAATGGATGAGACAAAAGTTACTTGGAACTTTGAAGTTATATTTTTGATATGTCTTGAGAATTGAATGAGTTTGAATAATGGATGATGAATAGTAAGGTCTCGAGAGTTTGTATTTTAGACACTTGAAACCGACATTTTGAAGAGTAGTGAATGATATTGTAATGGAAGTACTTTGTAACCTCTTGAATTCACATGAATGAGAATCTCGAATAAATTTTGCACCAAATCATCTTGCTCCCTTAATTTAATCTCTAGTCCGAATTGACACGCAATTTGATTCCAATTAAAATTTGTGTCGAAATTTGTCTTTGAATTTGAAACACGTGAATGATGAATGAAGTTGAATTTTGATAAAAGTCTTGAATAATTCTTGATATTTTGAACAATTCACATTAACGAACTTGCACTCTTGAAATAAACCTCGAGAAATTGGAATGCATCTTACTCAAGACATCAAATTCATAAACCTTCTTGAATCTCTCTTGCAAATAAGAACCCTAATGTTATTTGACAAACTTGGATATTTTGGCTTTATGGCATTGGTTATTTGAAAGAAAACTTTACAACAACGAATCCAATCTTGATTCAAATCTCAAATCCAAGTTAGCATGCAAACAACAAGAATTTGAAGAATTCTCAACCCTAACTCGCGTCTTCGCCTCATAGTAATTTGCAATACATACAAATAGCGCAAATCGTGCCTTTAAGAAATTTAATCGAAAATCCACCTTAATCCAATGATCGCTACTGTTCAATTGCAAAATGACTTGAAGTAGTCCACAATCATCAAAGAATCATTGGACTAAAACTCCAGTTTCATGAATTATCCCAACAGGAAAATCAAACGTTCTGGAGAAAACGTCTATGGCATGACTTGCACCTTAATCTTTGAAGTAATCTCATAACCAACGCTATTTGTGATACTTTGCAAAAGAATCGCCTCAGGACATTGAAAATTGAAGAAATCATGACCGTTTGAACTTGAACTTGCAAGAGTTGACTTTTGGTCGAAATGCTTTGAATCGACTTGCAAACTTGATCCTTCATCGCATTCTAAAGCATCTTGATGCACATGTAAACCAGTGATGATGAAGTCTTGATTGTGCTTTGTGGAATTTTGGAAGAAGCTCGAGACCACTTATCGAACAAGGAGTGGAAATAAACACACGATCCTCTAAAGATCCTCGAGACAGAAGCTATCACACTTGAAACAATTGTGATCAAAATAAGTCTGAATAAAGCTTTAGAAGTCGTGTCTTGATGAATCAGTCTTCGAGAATCAATAATCAATTATACTTCTAGCTTGAAGAACTCAAAACCCCAATTGAAGCACAACACCTGATGTCCTTGATTTAGACCCGTCTCTGCACATGAAATCGAAGAAACAAAAAACACACATTTCGTGCTTGATTAAAAGTTAGTGATACATAGGCTAAGAATGTTCAAAACATTGACAATTTCTGCATAGTCAATGCTCGAAGGTGAGAGGTTAAAAATGACTATATTTAGTGACCTTGACTTCTGTACAAAAATGCAAAAATAAAAATGGGATCTTAGGTCAAAAATTGGGGTATGACAGATGATTATGTGGAACCATCACCATCCTTTGGAAGGTATCTTTTACACTATTTGTCATGTATGAAGGAAGAGCTTGCGACTGAATGCACCTCTGAATTTAACTGAGAAATCTACCATGCCCTAGGTTATGATTAAAGGTTTTAATTTGTGTCAAAAGAAAAACTCCCACTTTTTTGGCTCAAAGGGGTTGACTAGGGATTATCTTCCTTATAACTCCACTACTTAGGATTTGAAACAACGCTTGTACATCGTCAGCGGGGTCTATTCAAAAGTATATTGTAGAGATTGTGGTATCATTTTCGTCATCCTCCCTCTAAAAGCTTAAAGCTTTTAATCGAGAGTTGAATATCACAAAAGGAAGTAAAAACACTGAATATAGTGGATATGAATGAAATAATTCAATACAAACATATGCAAAGCATTGATGAAATGACAAAGTTTGACATAAAGGTAAGTGTTTAAACCAAACAAAGAAATTACAACTTAAAATTTGAATGAACAAAAATTTCTCTGCCTAAACTTTATCACATCAGATGATATGCCTTGGTGGGATAACAGAAACATTCCAGTTGACTATCTTGTGCAAATTCTAATGCTCCTTCATCAATCAGATCTTGAATTTTGTTCTTCAACGCCCAACAGCTATTAGTGTCATGCCCAGGACTGTTGGAGTGGTACGCACACCTTGCATTTGGGTTGTACCTTAGGGAGGCAGTGTTGGGATTTTGAGGAGAATCCTTAAACGTAACCAGCTTGGCCTCCAATACCTGATGCAATGCTTGAGTCAAGGACATGTTGATTTTGGTGATTTTCCTCTTGGGCTTGTCTTGCTTTTGCTGATTACCCTGTTGTGGTCGGCGAGGTCGTTGTTGGACCCTTGTGTAACATCCGTCTGGAAAGGCCTACTCTCCAAGCTAACTTTTTGTCCCATCAGGGGTTGATGAATGACTTGATCCCCAGCCTCGATTGTTTGCCTCAGGGGTTGTTGACAATGCCTTTTAGCTCTTCTTGTCCCCGAGCTAAGTTTTGGATAAGAGTCATTTGATTGATCATATGGATTCTCATCCCTTCCATTTCAGCTTTCAGTTGTTCCAACTGGTCATCCTTGTGGTTGTCAGGATGTTTCTTGGTCAAATTCCCGTTGAGGAGTGTTTTCAATTCTTTCTGCACCTTGGCTAGACTCAGGAATATTTCTTTCAATTGACCATATTGAGTTTGGAGATCCTTTACTGCATGTTCAAGAGACATTTCTTCTTGCTGAAATAAACAACGAAGGGATAAGAAGCCTGTCCTGAAACCTGTTTAAGCAATGATATGTATGATATATGTATGCAATGTTTTTAAGGGCCTTATAGGATTTAAACTCTTTTAACCAAAACAGAAACAAATACTTTTTATTAGTAATCTCTAATGAAATCAAAGTTTACAAAGGGATAACAAATAAGAAACTTATAAAACATCTAATTCTCCCAAGGACGCTTCCTTTTGGTGCTAATGTAGGCATTGAGATTCTGCTCTTCATGAAGCTGCTTTGTCAGTTTCAACACCTTTTTCTCACTGGAATAGAATTGGGATTCAAAGGTATCTCACTCTTATTTGTGCCGTATCTAAGACTTTTGTAGTTCTTCAAAGTTTATTGGCATATCAGGATGAAGAGTGATGCGAGACTCGGCCCCTTGAACAATAGGTTGTGTAATCACTGGTAGGATAGCAGCATACAACATCATAATATTTTGAGCATGAGCTCACACCCATTTGAGGTATGGCTCCAACGGGATGGAATTCTTATGCCCTAGAGTATTGCTATCAGTCTTCTTAACCATTCCCTAAGCGCGGATGAACCTCTGATGATAACCTTGCAAATCATTTAAATAGTCGAACACAATATCTTGAATGAGAATATCATGAGGACCATCCCACAGGGTGTATCCGAACTGACCTAAAGCTAAAGAGGGGTTTGTAGGTGATGCCTCCTTTAATGCCAAGGAGTGGCACATTGGTAAAATCTCCGCAGCGATCAATTAAAGAGACGTCTTCTTGGGAGCGAGGGTACCAATAGATTTCAAAGTGAGAAAGAGACATTAATCTTTGGTTCCATCTTCAACCTCATTTATTCTTCATTACTGACCGAGGAAGGTGCGAAATAAACCACCTATAGAGTAGAGGTACACAACACATAAGAGTCCATCTCTTTTTCATGGTACGTGTATGGAGTGAGTGCAGAATATCCCCGAGCAATCTAGGCCCTGGATTGTGAGCAAGAAAATGTTGATGGCACTGATATCTACAATCTGGTCTGAATTAGGGAAAAAAACCAAACTGTAGATCAAAATAGCTAAAACATCTTAAAAGGCATGGTAACTCATAGCGTCTAGGAATACCTGGGCTTTCTTCATCAGGAAACTTGTGAGGAGGCCCTTAGCTCCACTCCTTCTTTCCCAATTGGACTCAATGTCAGATGGCTTCAAATGCAAAGTTATGGAAACATCCTTAGCAGTTGGATCTTTTTCTAAACCAGTAAAGGGTATCTTCTCCAATATAGGAAAACCGAGTATTTTGGAGAATTCTTCCAACGTAGGCACCAACTGATAATCTGGAAATGTGAAGCAGTGGTACTTAGGGTCGGAGAACTGGAATAATACACTCATCAAAACTTCGTCAAAATCGGTAGAAACCAAACTGAGCAAGTAGCCATAACTCTTGTTGAATGGGGGAATCTCAGGAACCTTTGAAACTGATTCTTTGAGTTTTGGAGGGATCTCTACATAATTGATTCAAATGGTTTTCTGTGAACTGAATCCATGACCTACAAAACAAATAAGAGATAAATCTACAGGCCCTTGAAATGGTCAGTGTACATGACATGTTATGATGTTTATGATGTTATGATTATGCTTTGAAATCATAAGTATATCAAACACAAACAAGTCATACAAAGACCTTAGGTTTAAAGGCTTGCATGAGTTTTAAAGGTAAGTACCCTCTTGAAGTTTCAGTTGGCTCAACCTGTCCTATTAATAGTAATCGGGTTCTAAGGAACCTCATATTAGTGACCTTTCCTTTAGGCATTGTTTTAGCTCAAGCATCAAAGTATTGAGCCAGAATATCCCAAAAGTCTAGTATCAATGAGTGTAGTATCGAGTATCAACCAATCTTCGGTCGGAACTAAAGCCGGACATGTCACTACTTTCTAATGGCTTAGGATGAGGCAATTAAAGGTTCTAAAGATCAGTTAGCACTTAATGACACTATGGAAGCCTATTGTTATCCTTGACTGACTCAAGGAACATTAGTACAAACCAAAGTATCACGCTAACGTAGCTATCACTTCGTCCATATTGGTCTACGTTGTACAGCT